ACAATAGTATTGAAGAACTGTTGTTCAATAGAAAGTCCACATAAGTGTTCAATAAAGTGAAAACTGCTTGAAATAATCATCTTTCATTGTAACATCAAGTGACTCTACTACTAAAACGAATTAATAAATATTTGAACGGAAAAAAGATTACAGGATCATTGGAAAAATTCAGGACAGGCTGCAAAGACCTCCTTCTTAAATGCATGACTCTATGACAGAAGCTACGTTCACCCTACATTGATATTATTGGCAAAGGCCCAATCTTGGCGGAAGTGTTGAAAGTTGAATGAGGAACTTCTGCTTCTACTAGCAGTAGAACAAGCCATTTCACCCTTGTTACTGATTCCACCAACACTAGACTAAGACCCCTGCGACTTGAATGTTAAGTCTGTTTGAACAAACCAGACCAGCTCTGACAAAGTGTCACTGGACTTGAAACATTGACACTGCTTTCTCTCCACAGATGCTGCCAGACCTGTTCAGTTTCTGCAGCAACCTCTGCTTTTGTTTCAAATCTCAGTGTTTCATGGTTATTGTTGTGATCATATGGCCAGCATAGTCTGGTGATCTTTCCAAACTTGCCAGGCATCTGTTTGTATACTGAGATTGTGCTCTGTACTGGGGTAGCTGATCCCAGGCATAGTGGGTGTGCTACAATTGACCTAAATGACACTATACTGGTCTTAATCACCTTCCAATAACCCCTTCTAAAAAATGTGCATGTGAGAATGTTGGACGAAGACAGCAGCATAATCAGATCTGTGTCTCAAATGATGGAGCTGTGGGCACTTACTCTTCATTTAGGCTCATACATTACCATGAGAATGAAATACTGTAAACCTGACGATGCAAGTGAAATCATAACAATCAAAGGAACTGCCTTCAGGAGAAGAGAGGATAAAACTGGAAAAGTAGCACACAATATCTGGGACGGGTTTAATAAAAATGCTGAGCAAACTGATTTCTCTGTTTATTTGTACTTAATAATTTGGTGGGTTTAGCTTGAATAAAGCACTAATATTAGCCTTTGATTAGCAGAAAATAATTTTAATTGTCAAAGATTATATTTCTCTAGGTTAATATTTAAAAGAAGACCCTATATCAATAAAAAAGAGCAATGACCCAAAATCTGAGTTTAAAATTCAACACCCTGATGATAATGAGAGTTCTGGTTTTACAGCAGATCTAAAAATACAGAATAAAAACCAAACGAACCGGGGATGCTGTACATCAGAAACACAAATAGAAATTAATGGAAAATATCAACAAGTCTGGCAGCGTCTATGGAGAGAAATCAGAATTAATGTTTTGGGTCAAATGGCCCTTTCTCAGTACACAGAAATACAGAATCCTGTGAGTGAAAAGCATTACAGCAGACAAATTGTTCTATATCTATGATTTACACTTGCTTGTTACAAGGGAGTATCAGAAGTCTATTAGAAGAAAGATTATTCTTGACAAAATGAACCAAATCAGACCAAGGATACAACTATTTAACCAAGACCTTGGAAACACTGTGACATTTACTGAAGAAGAGAACTATGACATGTAACAGACAGTGAAACCACTGGCAGCAAAACAAATTATCTTGTATATGAGAGGATTAAATTTAAAAATGGACTTAAAATAGACTTTAAATCATAACAGCAGCATGTATTTTATTTATATAGATTAGAGATAGGGGTGCTGCCAAGATGAACTGTTTTATGGGAAAATGTGACAGCATGGGAGGCGAATGCTAGTTACACTACATGTAGCACTTTGACTGTTAAACCAAGTAGAATCTTGTAAGCTGTCAAATTGGGATAGTATTTATGAAAATTCGCAAAAATGCTAATAATTTTTCAATCTTTGGGTGGAAATTTTACAGTTATGAAGTGCATTGTTATGTTTGACACTGTCATTAACAAAAAAAAAGAGTCATGTGATCTGTTCTGAAGTTTGCCTGATAGCAAGCCTGGGTTTTAACTGTCAGAGAGTAAAGAGGGCCGAGACTGAAGATATAATAACATCCACACTTACAGAAAATGGCAGGGTCTCAGAAAATGAATGTTGTGAATGTAAAGTTGTGAACTGTTATACTTTAATCTGTTCATTTTTGTTGGGTCCTCAAACAAGTGGTATAAGGTCCATGTGATTCAGGCTTAAAAGATCAAGTTTGTGAGGAAGACTGGAAGATTCACCTGGTCTGGATTAGAATCTCTGGAAGAGAAACCTCACTGCAAAAGAGAGTTGAGATTAAATATTCATGGACCAAGGAAATAAAAGACTGGAAGTAAATCGTCAGGAGTTAAGAACCACTTTGGACTGGTTCTGGGAAAATTAAATATCCAATTGAAGGACAGTGTACAGTAGCTAACGGTGGGTTATTCAGGTTTAAACATTCTGTCCTGTAGTTTAAAACATGAGGTGACCAGAAAAATGGTATCAATTGTGACTTTAGTTTGTTTGTTACAGTGAATGCTTTAAAATGTGAAATCTTGCCAAGTCATCTGTTCAGCTGTTAAATGGGAGTTTTTTTAAAAAACTACCAGTCTCAATGGGAAACATAAGAATTGATTTAATGAATTGCCATTTTACTTGTTCAGAATTTATCAATTTTAAGTCCTCCACCACTAAGTGTGATTAGATATTCGCTGAGTCTTTATTTTCATCTTTTCACAGCAGTTATAAAAATTCCTTGCCTTTGCCTAATCATCCTAGTGAGACCGTCATTCACTATTTCACACTTTGCGTCAGCACATTGGTCCATGTAATGTATAGGCTGACTAAAACTTGACAAGAGTTGCCAAACCGTAGTTAATTTGAGGTAACTGACATGTAACCTGAACATTCCAAGCTGTGAAACTAACAACTAGAGAAATAAAGTGAAACAAATACAGCAATTCTCAGTATTTTATAGGGTGCTATTTGAACTTGAAGTGGAATTTAGCTGGATGAGGGAAGGAACGAATGGGAGAATTAATGCCGAGCCCCCTTTCCTACTTTGATATGATGATAGATTTTTTTCCTAATCGATCTGTTCAGAAACGTTATAACATGTCTCTGGAACAGATGGGACTTGAACCCAGACCTCCTGGCCCAGAGGTAGGGATACTATCATTGTAACACAAGCACCCTAGCCAGGACATTTTATCGCCTGGGCTTCATGTGAATGCAGCTATAAACGTTGAGAAAGCAGAAGGCCACCAGATCAAGCAAAGGGAGTCTTGTTGACAAGAATGTTAGTTGTGGTGAGTGGGTTTCAAGTAGGTGTTACAGCAGGGAAGAGGAAAGACCTGGGAGCAGATGAGGTCTAAACTTGCTTGATGGAACCCAGAGGAACACTTGGGGGTAAAAACGACATCAAGGGGTCAACAAAATAACTTTTATGCTTGGGCCTCGCTTGGCTCCGGATCCTCTGCCCATTGAAACTACATCAAAGAAATGCCAGAGAGGATTTTTTCCATAAGCCAAAGTTCAACTTTAAATTGACTCCTGGTGGCATTACTAGACCTTAATCTGCATCTTAAATGATGATCCATGCTGACTTCATGTGGCTACCCTTGTCAACTACTCGGAAAAGTAGATTGAAGTTGACAGTGATGGAATAAAAGCAGGATGTCTGTGGCTAACTCAGCAGTCTGAATTTAACTGGCCATCCCAGGGTTGCTGTAACAATACATGACTTTAGAAGTCTAACCAACAATTGGAGATTTTGTTGCACAATGGATTGCATCCCTGCCTCGGAGCTTCTCCAGGTTCAAATTCTATTCCAGCTTGTAATAGCCATGAGAAGTGCATTCATAGTGGCAGCAGGTTGAGTGTCAACTTGTAGATCCCTCCGACGCACACAAATGATATGGTATGAGTGTGAAAAATGTGAGGCAGCCATTTGATGGAAAAATTGGAGCCTCTATTTTTAATATCCACAGCTAGAAGCTACAACATGCATGTACAATTGTATGTGATCATAGAACTTGGACTCCTTATTTTTTGGGTGTGGTGACTGGCTCAGTTAGCTGGATGGCTGGCATGGATCAGCCTGGGCTTCAATCCCTGTTCTAGCCGGGCTGGATTGGGAACCTGGCTCCTTGCCTCCCCTGTGGTTTGTGGTGCTGTGGGTCAGATCTTTCTTTGGACAGGGAACTCAAAAGGAAGAAGAATTTACAACTGTTATTCAGGCTTATGACAATCTGAAGTGCACAACAGTCATTATTGTAGGCACAATCTCAGAAACATAGGTGCATCCATGATCAAAATGATCACAGATTAAGGCCTAATAAATACTTACTGACACTAAAAGACAATAGCCTGGTGATAGCATTAAACCGCTAACTACATTATCTTTTCTGTAAAAATATACATACACACAAAATTTGTTCTCAGATGAACACAAAATAAAATAAGGCAACTCCCACCTCTATTCTCATGAGCTAAATTGCAGGGTCTTTTAGATTCAATACTTTCAAGTTCAGTTGATCTCTAATTTATCCATATACTAGCATACCAAGAATTAATTTCGAGAAAGAGAAAATCATTTCAGATCTGTACAGAATAAATTACAAAAAGAACATATTAAAGTCAACCTTTGATTGCACATTTGATATTAGCAGCTAAACAGTCACAAACATGGAAAAGAGATTACTTCTCAACCTATAACTCTAAACGTATCAATACTGTTGCAGCCACATGGCCATTAGAATATTACTGCAAGAGGTATCCATCTACACATGAACTCTTCTTTAAATAACAATGGGGTAATTGGCAATTAGTGTTTCTTAGACCACTTTATTAGCAATAGTTTGTTAGCTCTACGGGGAATTGGTTTATAAAGTTTAACTAAAGCATGGAAACTTATAGAGGATTAAGATTCATGTTGAAAACTTGTCCAAATTAAGGAAATGCCAACTATCAATGTCTCATCATATTTTCAACATAGACAAAGCTAGGCATTTTAGTTATAAAATATTCTCCCACTGAACTTGCTGAGATACAATTCAATAGCATTAGTAGAGTATTCACACATGAAATCCCTTCTCTTGTATGTGGAACATGTGCAGTCTCAAAGTCTGTATACTGCTCACTATTCGCCTCTGATGTCCTATTAATGTGACCCCAATTCTTCTTATGTCACTAGAACAAAACAAAGTAAAACTGACATAACGTCATAGTATATTAATGGTTGGAAGTTTATATGAAAATATATAATCAACTCTGAATAAAAAGGCAGCCATTTCATTCATCCTGTGTCTTTACTGGGAATTACCTATAACTGAAGAAAGAAAGAATAACCGCAAATGGTGATCCCAATGTATTAAATTTCAATAAATTGAACTAAAAACAGCTATGATAGAGATCAAGGAAGCAGTACTGATATAATCTGGTTCTTACTTTTCCAATTTTCTTCATAAACCAGCAAAAATATTTACAGACAGAAGGTTCATTTTGAACAATTTGTGTCAAATCTGACAACTTGCAAGCATTTTAAAACTTGTCATCTAATTCTAAGGCATTAGGACATTTTGAGACTCTTTCACCATCTGGTTTGTTGCCTCCGACCTCTCCCAACTGTCTGCCTCAAATTTCCATCTCTCAGCTCTCCAAGCATTTTAAACCTACTCTCCATATAAGGAAATTTGTATATTTTTAAGTTCATCCACAGGATTGAGGGCATTGCTGGCTAGACCAGCATTTATCACCCATCCCTAATCACTAACGATTAAGAGTCAACACATTGCTGCGGGTCTGGAGTCACATGCACACCAGACTGGGTAAGGACAGCGGTTTCCTTTCCTAAAGGAAATTAGTGAACCTGATAGGTTTTCCCCTGACAGTTGACAATGGTTTTATGGTCATCATTGGACCCCTAATTGTAGATTTTTATTGATTTTAAATTCCACCATCTGCCATGGTGGGATTCAAACCTGGGACACCAGAACATTATTAAGGTCTCTGGATTAATAGTCTCGTGATAATACCACTAGGCCATTGCCTCCCCTGAATAGAGATGTTCACAATTTGAAGCATGTGAGAAGTTGTGAAGCTGTGAATTATCTGATTAAGCCCAGATAAATTGTACAAAATATTTCAAAGGAGAAGACTTACTTATGGTTACTCATGTTCATAAATCAGTTCCCTAGGACTTTTTCATGGAAAAGGAGAAAGAAAAAATGGAAGAGATCCCTAGAGTGAACTAGAGATGACTTTCTTTTTTCTATTTAATTACATTGAAGTTTACAAACATCAGAATGTTGATAAATGTTAATTTGCGTTAAATTGGGAGGTGATGCTGGCCGAACCTCATTCTGGATGTTGATAGATCAACAGTAATCTCCTTCAACACCCGAACAGTAATATAGCAGCTTCAGGTGATAGACTAACATTTGTATTCTTTCACCAATGGGAGGAGGAATTTGCATAATTACTTGCATGGAAATTTAGCTATGAAGCAATAAGCTGTACATTTTTATGACCAGTCGGTCATTTGCTGTCCATCAATTTTGTATGTTTGATAAGATCACAGGGCCAGAAAGAGGCTGCAAAGAGATACAGACAGGTTAAACAGTGAGCAACAAGATGGCCAGTGAAGTGTAATGAGGGGAAATGTGACACTATTCACTTCAGTAGCAAGAAAAAGAAATGCAGAGTGAAAATTGAAAATGCTGATATTGAGAGGGAATAACACAATGAAGACAAAGCTAGCAAACAATTAGGAAGCACATGTCAATTGGCCAGTTTTGCAACCTAATTATTTTCTCAATAGCATCCCAGAGGGCAAAAGCAGTAATACGTAGAAATGACAAATACTTGGAAAAACTGGGCACACTGGAGCTCCATTATAAGATGTCTGGAATATGTTGGGTCAGTATGTGCAGTCTTATGTTTTAAAGATTTTCACTTTTGTGATATCAAGCTCTTAAAGCTCTTGTTGAATGCCTTGCTGAAGTCCATATAGGCAACTTCTGTCACTCTGCCTTCATCAATCTTCTCTGCCATCTCTTCAAAAAACTCAATCAAGTTAATGAGACACATATACAAAGCCATATTGACTACCTTTAATTAGTCCTTGCCTTTCCAAATGCATGCAAATACTGTCCCTCAGAATCACTTCTAAATTACCTATCACTGATGTAAATCTCACCAGTCTATAGTTCCCTGGATTTTCCTTATAGCCTTTATCATCACAGTCGTAGAATCCCTACAGTGTAGAAGCAGGCCATTCAGCCCATTGAGTCCACACCGGCCCTCTGAAGATCATCCCACCCAGACACAACTCTCTACCTTATCACTGTATTCCATGACTAATCCATCTAGTTTTTACATCCCTGGACACTATGGGCCAAACCACCAAACCTGCATAACCTTTGGATTGTGGGAGGAAATCGGAGTATCGCGAAGGAGACGATGCAGACACCTGGACAATATGCAAGCTCTACACAGATAGTTGCCTAAGGGTGGAATCGAACCCGGGTCCCTGGTGCTGTGAGGCAGCAGTGCTAACCACTGGGTCACCGTGCTGATAATGGCACCACATTAGCCAACCTCCAATCTTCCAGCACCTCACCGGTGGCTATCAATGATACAAATATCTCAGCAAGAGGCCTAGCAATCACTTTCCTAGCTTCCCACAGAATTCTAGGGTACACCTGATTAGGTCCAGGGAATTTACCTACCTTTATGTGTTTTAAGATCCTCAGCACCTCCTCTTTGGTAATATGAACTCTTCTCAAGACGTTAATATTTATTTCCCCAAGTTTCCTGGCTTCCAAGTCCTTCTCCACACTAAATACTGGTACAAAATATTTGTTTAGTACCTCACCCATCTCCTGTGGTTCCACACATAAACTGTTATGCTGATCTTTAAAAGGCCCTATTCTCTCCCTCGTTACTGTTTTGCCCGTAATATATTTATCGAATCTCTTTCGATTCTCCTTAACTCTATTTGCCAAATTTATGTCCTGTCCCCGTTTTGCTCTCCTGACTTCCCTGTTAACTATACTCCTACTGCCCTTATAATCTTCTAGTGACTCACTTGATCCCTGCTGTCTAAACTTGATTTATGCCTCATTGTTTGTCTTGACTAGAGCCTCAATTTCTCTAGTCATCTAGCATTCCCTACACCTACCAGCCTTGCCCTTGACACTAACAGGAACATACTGTCTCTGAACTCTCGTTATCTCATTTGTAAAAGCTTTCCAGTTTCCAACCATTCCTTTACCTGAGAATAGCTTCCCCCAATCTTTTGATACTTCCTGTCTAAAACCATCAAAACTGGTCTTACTCCAGTTTAGAACTTTAACTTTTTTCCATAAAAAAATGAAAGAACTGCGGATGCTGTAAATTAGAAAACAAAACAGAAATTGCTGGAAAAGCTCAGCAGGTCTGGCAGCATCAGCGAAGGAAAAAAAACAGAGTTAACGTTTCGGGTCTGAGGAAGGGTCCCTGGACCTGAAACGTTAACTGTTTTTCCCTCACAGATGCTGCCAGATCTGCTGAGCTTTTCTAGTAATTTCTGTTTTGTTTTCTATGGTTTTCCATAATGATTTTAAAATTAATAGAATTATGATCCCTTGCCCCAAAGTGCACCTCCACTGACACCTCAGTCACTTGGCCTGCCTTATTTCCCAACAGAAGGTCAAATATTGCTTTTTCTCTAGTAGGTACATCCATATATTGAATAAGAAAGTTTTCTTGTATATCCTTAACATATTCCTCCCCATCCAAGCCCTTAACACTGTGACAGTCCAATAGTTAAATTGGCCTACCATTACAGCCTTATTTTTCTTATCTGAGATCTCCTTCACATTTGCTTCTCAATTTCCTGCTGACGATTGGTCGTGGGGGGGTAGTGCTGTAATACAATTCCAACAAGGTGATCATCCCTTTCTAGAAACTGATGAAGAAAATTACTTACTAGAACCAATAGATGTGTCAGAGAAATAACATGATAACGGTAAAACAGTGTGGCCAAAGGAGAGTCTTTATGTTGAGATAAAATTGGAAGAAAGGAGTGCCATCAGTTGAAGTGGAAACAAAAGGGTGAATCCCTTGCTTGAATGCTTAAAGTACAACTAAATTATTGAAATAAACTGAACTCAAATTATTGGGCAGTATTAGCTTGGTTGGAAGAAGGGATGCTTCAGGAATCGAGGTTTTGGTTCAATTTAGTCAGATTCACAATTTCTCCAGCAATTCCTGTTTTGTTTCCTTCACTGTGCTGACTCTTTGATGGAGCAGACCATGTGCATACCTCAATCTAGGATCACATACCAATGATTGCAAATGCTACCTAGACAATAGTCTCAGAGAATTGAGATTTGGTCAGCCACTATAAAATGCTATGACGTTATATTCTACTTACTCTATACTCATCCTTGTGACTGAATCCAAACTTGTGAGGCCTGCAGCCATGAAATTGCTCTTGTACTGTTCCATTTTGATTGAGTCCAGCCAATCATTTACAGAGACAAATAAAGAGAACTCTGGAAGTTCGCCAGGAGATTCTGGTAATCTGTATTAAAAGAAATTCAAAAGTCATCCACGTTTATTGCATTCAGAATGAAACTGTACTCCTTGTTCTATCATGAGTTTCTAATTGTTATTCATGTCCCTACATTATATGGAGCCTGACCAGAAAGCTACAATGTCATATCAGATGAAAATTAAAGTTAATTTAAATCAGAACAGTATTAACAAATCACAGATGAATAACTTTATTTCATGTCTGTGTTTACGGCTGCAGTTCATCACCTGAAGACAAAATGTCATCCATTTGCTTTGACCTGCCATTGGTCTCTTACAGAGAATTGAACACTTATTGAGAAATATTTGGAATAAATGCCGAAGGAAACAATAACCAAAGCTAGAAAGTTATGATCAAGAAGTGGGCTCGATCAAGTGAAAAGTAGTTGGTCTACAGCGTGAAGAAAAAAATACAATAAATCATTTTGCAGTATAAAGCAAAAGAAAGTGTAACATCATTAATTAGAAGTGCCGGCTCAGTCTCAGTAAGTAGCACATCTGCATCTGAGATAGAAGGCTTTATGTTCAAACCCCATCCTAGGACTTCGGCACAAAAATCAACGTCAACAGTCATTTGCAGTTCAGAGAGAGTGTTGCACAGTTAGGGGTGCTGCTGTTTTGATGAGATAAAGTGAGGTCTCGTTTATCTGCCCAAGTGGTTGTTAAAAGTCTCATGGCAATATCCTGAAGAAGGGCAAAGGAATTATTCCTAGTTTCCTACGCAGAATAATGCCACATCCCATGAATGAATTAAATAAACCAAAATCAACAAATAGTCTGACTTTGGGGCTCTCTTGTGGCACAGTGATAGTGTCCCTACCAGAGGTCCAGTTCAAGTCCCACCTCCTCTAGACATGTGTATAACATCTTTGAATAGGTTGGCTAGAAAAATCATTTAAATAAGAAAAGAAGACTGATATTGGCAATGCCAGAAAAGTAAGGTTAAACATTGAACTGATTTGTTTGTTTTCCCTTTAAAAAAGGAGTGACGTTAAGATTAGTTCTTTAAAATCATTAAAGAATTTGAGTCATGATGGAATCAGGAGTTGGGAATTTTCCCAAAGTTGCTTGCCTCTGTCCCAGTTGCTTCATTCAGCCGAAGCTAATGATGGGATGACCTGGTGCGATGAACAAACATAGCTAGAAAACTTAGAAACTCATAAATCTGTCAAAATAAATAAAATTTACTTCATTGAAATTTTAAAACCATTATACTATTAGATGACTAAAACTCATTAATATTAAACACATACATATGCCCCAGGATAGGAGCGTAAAAACAAAATCCTTGTTATGTAAAATCTATCAGTGGATTGAAAGGCAGTTAAGCCAACAAACTAGTATTTCTTCAAACTGCTCTATAAATAAACAGTATCTATTAGTGAGGTTGCTGATTTGCTCACTGAGCTGGCTTGTTTTTGTTCAGACGTTTCGTCACTATGCTAGGTGACATCATTAGTGAGGCCTCCGATGAAGCGATGTTATTCTACTACACTTGGAATTTATACTGTCCGGTCCATTATGGAGTATATGTATGGGTTTTTATGTATGTTGGACCCCATATACAAATCCATACAGATCAAAACTGGAAATGACACTACTCATTGTAACAGACCGGACAGTGTAAATTCCAAGTGGAGTAGAATAACATCACTTCATCGGAGGCTGCACTGATGATGTTACCTATCATGGTGACGAAACGTCTGAACAAGAACAAGCCAGCTCAGTGAGCAAGTCAACAACCTCTCTCAAAACCTGAGCTACAAATCTTTTCTAAAACTCTAAAGTATCTATTAGTGCCAAATGATCAGACATCTCTCAAAGCTTTCAACAAGCCAAGAGAAGGCAGAGATGTTCTTCATAGAGTGAATGAAAGCCACTGGCAATGTTTAAGCAATTAGGCAGTAACTCACACTGAGCTATGCTTTCCATATTGTACAAAGTAGAATAACAGTCCATGATCTATTCTAATGCATTTGAAGTCTTTGTCATTTTTCCAATGTTCTTCCCTCATTGGCAATTTGCTAGCTGTCAGAACTAACAACTTGGCAACCACACTACTTAACGGTCACTTAGCTTCTTCAAGTGCAGCACTATCATAACTCATTTCAGTAAATATAGAGAGAGCTCAGGCTGCAGCATTTCACGATGAGCTAAAAAGGGAACATCACCATTTTTACTCACGACTCAGGCATTTCTCATGCCCAATTCCTGGTTCACATTTGTATTCATCAGATGTGATTTAGAAATGCTTCCAAAATGTAGCTATCTCCACATAAATTGCAGGTGTTCTAAAATGCCATCACCATTGTGGAAGTGGGTAAGTTTTGAACTGCAGCATTAGAGATTCCTAGCCCGTACCCTTTCTGACATTGTAGAAACCAGCAAGAGTCAGAAATGGTGCAGGATTCATGATCTACTCTCCAGCCATCACCTTTTTTCTCCTGCCTAATTCCGTGTGGTCCTAGAATCTGGTTTTGGGGACAGGAATTCACTCCTTACAGGGGACGACAATGTGAAGGTGTGCAAGTGCATTAATTGGCTTATTTGTTGAGGTGGGTGAAAGGTTGATTGTCAGATGCCAATTGTAAATTCACAGTCAGTTCACAAGACTCCCACAGCAGCAGGAGCAGGTGAATTGTTAACAGGGGACCTCCTAGTTGCAGATTGAGGAGGTTGGAGGGATGTAGGAGTGGGGGCCCTACTGCCCCAGGAAAGCTTTAAGGCCCTTCCCTCCAAACTCCCTGTACCTGTAGCCATGGGCCACCCTGTGGTAGTGCTTCCCTTCATAATGATGAGGTGACAGCGCCCTGGGCTGTAAGACCATAAGATGTTGCAGTCATTCAGCCCATCAACTCTACTCCAACATTCAATGATGTCCATGTTTGATCTGAGAATCCTCAACTCCACTTTCCTGCCTTTTCCCCAAAACTCTTGATTTCCTTACTATTTAAAACTCTGTTTATCTCAGTCTTGAATGTACTTATTGACACAACCTTGTAAATAATTCCACCCTCTGAGTGTAAAAATGTTCTCCTCGTCTCTCTTGAAAATAGGTGACTCCCTACACTGAGATTTGCTCTCTGGTCCTAGACTCTCCCACTGAGGGAAGCAACCTTGACACATCTACCTTGTCAAGACTGCGAAGAATCTTACATGATTCAGTAAGGCCACCTGCATTGTCTAAACTCCAGTGAGTACAGGCCTAAGTTACTCAACCTCTCCTCATAAGAAAATCTCTCCATACATGCGATCAACCTAGTGAACCTTCTTTGGACTGCCTCCAATGTCATCAAGAATAGGAGCACAAATAGGCCATTTAGCCCTTTGAGCTTGCTCTTCCATTCTGATCATCCAACTCATGCAACTGTATCTTTCCTTAGATAAGGGGTCCAGAGCTGTTTTCCAGCTATTTTCTAACCAGTGCCTTGTATAGTTTTAGGAATACCTCCTTATTTTTACCTTTCATTTCCTTTGAAACAAAAGTCAACATTCTATTTGCCTTCCCTATTACCCACTGAACTTGAATGCTAGCTTTTCTTGATTTATGCATGAGCGTCCCCAATTCTCTCTATCTGTAACTTTCTGCAGTCTTAAATAACATTCAGCTTTTCTGTTCTTGTGTCAAAGCACATTACTTCACATTTTCCTACATTTTATCCTACCTGCCAAGCTTTTGTCCATTCACTTAAGCTGTCCATATCCCTGTGTAGGTTTCTTATGTCATCTTTACTATTTGCCCTCCCACCTAATTTTATGTCATCTGCAAACTTCGTGACAGTACATTCACTTCTGTCATTCAAATCGTTCGTATATACAGTAAATAATCGTGGCCCAGCACAGGTCCTAATGACATTCCACTAGTTACAGGTTTGCCATCCTGAAAATGCCCTCTTTATCCCAACTCTGTCTTCTATTAGTTAGCCAATTGTCTGTCCATGCTCATATACTACCACCAACATCAGGGATGGTTATCTTATAAACTAGCTTTATTCCCAGTACCTTATTGAACATCTTTTGGAAATTCAAATACGTTATAACTAATGGTTCCCCTTTATCTATCCTGCTTATTACCTCCTCAAAGAATTCTAATAAATTTGTCAGGCATGATTTCCCCTTCATGAAGCCACACTGATTCTGCCTGATTACATTCAGAGTTTCTAAATGCTCCTCTATTACTCCCTTTAAAATAGAGTCTAATATTTTCCCAATAACAGATATTAAGTTAACTGGTTTTCTTAAAAACTGTATAGAGGGCTTCCCAAGATGGAGGTCCCACCTCTTTCTTTACCTTCAGCTCTATCATCCCATTAATGCTGCAGGGCATCCTATTAGCTGTCCCACTTTGAAAGCCTGTCTCTTACACAGATTTGGATGGCATGTCTGCCATCTGGCCACTAATTGGGCAATCCAGGAAAATTCAACGTGGCGTGGCTGTTCCCCATACAGTGCGGGGTCAAGGCCTCTATTTGACTCTTGACATTGAGATCCAGATCTAAAATAAAAATTCCTTCCTAAATTTCTTTCCACTGATGAGAAACAGCAACACCTGCGGTCATCAATAGAAGGTAGTCACCAAGAAGTCAGAAGAAACGTTTTTGCCCAGATAGTGGTGACATTGGGGAAATAAATAGCAAAAAGACAGCTAAGAAAAGCTACATAAGCATATGAAAGAGAAGGAGATAGAGGATTACGCTGGCAGACTTAGACACGAATAGATGAAACAGGATTTGTCGTAGCTTGTCATTGAAGCATAGGCTGAAAGGAGCAATGGCTGTGTATTTTATATAATTCTTTATGCAAGCCTGATGGAAATAGTGCGATGGAAATGCAGGAAATGTCCGCAGACACATCAATGTACTTTTCTTATGAAGCACTCCATTAGCAAGAAATGGTCTTGGGATCACCTGAAGTCATGAATGCAAGATCTTTTCTCTTGTATCTCCTTCCCATCAGCTTTGAATGTATCCAATACTCAAGACTGAGTCC